GATCACAGATTGATCACGATGTGTTGCGTCAGGCACAAGGGACATGTGATCCATCCATCCATCCATCCATCCATCCATCCATCCATCCATCATGTCCTACGTATTCATTTACAAACCTTCATTTACAAACCTAACTGTGATTAATCCACATTGAACATTTTTACCATTTGTTGTATTGTTTGACAGCCCTAATATTTACAGATGTGTGTTTAATTGAGCTTTATAAATTATAAAGTGCTTCTTCAATCTATAATAGAATTCGTGACTTGGTAACGCACGTTAACTTTTACTTTCAATATTTACACTTTTTTTTAGCTGACATTTTCAGTATCCACAAGAAGCCCAGATGAGACGGCGGTGGGTGTCGAGTGCCTGCAGTTGTTCATTTCTGTTTGGCTGCTGGCGACTAAATGCCATCCTACTCTACTGTATATCTGTGCAAAAATGAAGAGTTGCAGCCGGAAGCTGACAGCTACGAACGTGTCATATCATCTGTATTTATAAGCCCCCAGAACGATCTGAAATCAGCCCATTACCAGCACACGGGAAAAGGCAGCAGGGAAGAATCAAATCCAAACTCCCACAACACCATTAAGATAAGAACAACAAAATAACTGCTGGTGTTAGTAAAGGTCTGCCAAAGCCCAAATCCAAAGCTCATAATTCATGTTAAGGTTACACGTGTTCCCTTCAATATTCTCTGCAGTGTGCAGCCTTTCGGAGGGTCATCAGATGGTGGCTGCTGCTGTAGTCAGCTCTGAAAGCCGGAAATGCCAAGCAGATAAAAAAATGCTACACTAACACACACATACACAGAGTGAGAGAGAGAGAGAGAGAGAGACTGACATTTCACACAGCCTAAGTAAATCTGGGACAGTTATGTTCTGAATCCAAACGTTTTAACTTCCTTTGAGCACCACTGCCACTGTCAAACTTCCAGCTCAGACACTCATTGTCTTTTTTTTGCCGTTTGAAATTACTGTTGTTAAGCACTTCACACGTATTGTCATTTGTCTAAATAGTCCATCACATCAGGCAGCCTTTGCTGGAGATTATCACTCTCAAATGGAGTCATTTGTGTGAAAGAGGCATATTACATTTATTGTACGGACAATCAAAAGCCCCAGAACATTTTCGGTGCCGTGGCAGATCTCCAGCAGTGATATCCAGACGAAATGAGGAAAAAAAAAAAAAACCACCCACCCCAAAGCGAGGGACCACATTTATCTGAGACAATGTCACAAATATGAATACACCGAGAACAATTTCAGATGAAAAGACTTGGAATTCTAATATAAAAAGAGGAAATTACAACATTCAACAAATACCAGTGTTAAAGGCGACTGCCTTTATGTGTTTCTGAATGTCAGCTGTTGTTATTCTGATGTTCCTGTGCCACAGAGTTCTTCTTTTCTGGCATGAAGTGAATGTAACTGATGTAAATCAATTTCCACGTGGACAGGAAGAGGGGGTAATTATTTGAATGATGAAAAGTGGGAGTCATTAATATGATTGGTCATTACATATGATTGACAATCAGATTATTCAATGTTTATAACTTCTGCTCCATCTGAGAACTATATGATTTCATCTGGGCTACAATCTAACACAGTGATCAACTGGCGGGTCACGGGCCGAATCCGGCCCAACAACCCATCTGCTCTATCCTACAACTGGATTCAAAAATTGTTAAATTAAAGCAATTATTTTTTGCATACATTTCAAACAGTGCACATTGAACTCTCATTATGGTTTATTTTCTTCTTTTTTGAAAAAAAAAAGGCCTTAAAAATCTATCAACAATATCTTATCTCTCTTATTAAAAAAAAGAAATCCACATAATGTGACTCAGTACTTTGAAGCTGTTCTGCATAACATCAAAGATAAGATGCACCGTCAGAGAACAAATTATTATTTGAGAACTGCACAGGAGAAGCGGTTCTGCTGGCATCCTTGAATGACCACAATTTACTGCACGAATGGCGTCTGAGAGACGACTTTTAAGAAAACAAGTACAAAGACACGCTACAGAGAAAACACGATCGGGGAGGGGAAAATAAAGCAAGGATGAATGAGGCGAGACGGAGAAACGAAAATACAGTAGTACTGAAGAACAGGCAGAAAGTCAAGACATACGTGGTCCATCAAAAGGTGAACCACCAGAGGGGAATAAATAAATAATAAAACGCAATCATTAACAGACTCGTCTGCACTTAACAAGGAGCTCGGAGAGGAGGCGTGTGCGGAGGGAGCTGCAAGGTTGCTGCAGCAACTGGAATTAGTACCTGGACTAAGCAGAGAAATGGGAAGGTGTGAGGCTGACAGAGGAAATGATGATGGAAAGAATGACAGGATAACAATGTCATAAATAAAACACCGACATCTGTTTCCCTTTTTAATTCTTAAAAAGGTTGCCTGCCTCAAATTCAACATATAGTAGGAAGGAAGTGTCACCTCTTCAAAATTAAAATCCCTCGCTGGTGCATTACAGTAGGATTCTTGGGAATGTGTGATAATTATAAAAACAAAGAAAAGATAATACTGACTCACAGCTTTTCAAAACAGTACAATCACTGACCAGTCTTAATTAATTTGGTTTGCATCGTCTCTAATTACACTAAATCCCCACAGTCATCTGAACACCCACACAACTGAAATAAATGAAAACAATGCTTTCTGACCTCAGAACAGACAGAAAACAATAACACGTCTCGAGAATCTCATTTAAAAATAATTTAAAAATTTAAAAAGCATGCGACTCCATCCCCAGATCTGCGTCCCACTAATCAACAGCACTGATATACAGATAATGGTTTTTACAATGCTGCTTTTAAGCAATTTATAAGGAATTGTTTCACGGCAGCTGTCAGGACACAAATTTAGCTGTGAGCAAGTTATCAAGCACCTTTCTGCTCCACTTGGAGGTTGCCAGGAGACAGATAATGCCAGCTCCAGGCTGGCAGTTTATAAGGGCTGAGTGTTAAGACCTAAAATGTCAATATTGGTCCCATGGGAAGGAATAATTAAGGCATAAAGACCTTAAAGGCTTGTCACATACGGCCGGCCAGCTGTCACATCTGTCTGTTCGCATTCGTGCAGTAACAAGCCGGGGCCCATAGTGAAGTAGCAACAGAGTATGTAATGGCCGGGCATTAAATGTCAGCTGACTGGGCTAAGACTAAAGGCCTGCAAAAGGATGAAGACAGAATGAGGAGAAGCATGGCATTTCACACAACACACAAGTACCACTTGTCATTTTAGATGTTCTCTCCCACTGAGGCTGACGAGAAGAGAAATATTTCTTCTTCTTCTTCATACCTATTCCCAGGATCAAGTGTTACAGGTAGAAACAGAGCTTAACGGAAAGATAAACAACTTCATATTCATGAGTCAGCCACTTAAACTGAAGCATATCACACTGGGAATATCCTGGAGGACCGTCAAGTTAGAACTGTCCTACATGTTCATTAAGTTTATTAAAAGCCTACAGAACAGTTAAAAACATATTTTTAATAATTAGCTCTTCAACCTTTTTCTTAAACCTTATCTAATTTCTATTATTATCTTCAACAGAAATATTAGGGGGCCACACAGTGGATAAAAAAGAAAAAAAACAGAATGTACTAGAATAAAGACGTATGTTCACAAAAATAGTCATAAGTTTATAAGAATTAATTTCATACATTTAGGAGAATACATTTGTAAAATGATGAGATTAAAGTCACATGTTAAGATGATGTGATTTAAGGGAGAAAGCAGACAAGTCCTTGTTGCCATTAAACCTAAGCAGCAGAGTCTCTCCAAGTGCACACATTTCTGCTGACTATGTTCCCTGGTTTACTTGGGTTCCAAATCTTCAGGTTTCACAGGGAATTTCTCGTGCAAAACAAAGCTAAAAAGTCACAGCGGCTACACAGAAACAGTGAATTGAGTTTGCGGGGGCTTTGCTGTGCTGTGCTCTGAAACATTTCCTGTCTTGGAGAGAGTGAACGTGGAAGTGGAAGATGTCTCTGCGACACGTCAGGTTAGAGCCCTGGTTTGTTTTGGCAAATCCAGCTTCTGACTGATGTAGTGGCTTTGTTTAACTAAGTGTGTGTGTGTGTGTGTGTGAATAAGAATTCTTACAGACACTGTATGAATGTGAAGAGTGTAAACACACAAACGAAGATGAATTGAACGACTGAGGTCAAGGGGTCACTGTACAGTGATTTCAGAGAGGTACAATAATAACAACAGTGTTTCAACAGCATTCATTTCCTAATAGTGAAATGAGTGAGGTTCAAACCTCGGGCCGATGACATGACAGTGACCGTCGTACCTTGTTGAACTTTTCCTCCAGCCTCTCAGATTAACGTGTCTCTTACTGTATCATTTCATGGCCTTGAAGCTGGTAGTTTTTCTTGCGTTTATATTTCTAATCATTTTTATTGACATTTTCTCTTTAAACTAAATGCTGTAAATGCTGTCAGCCAAACGCTGCATCTGAAGCGTCCTACCAGCTGTCAATATGATTGAGTGTCTGCTGCTTATGCTTCAGCTGTTTCTCCTGCTACTTGTTATTCCTCTGCTGGTAAATTTTACATCTTCTGTCACTCAATCTTTTTGAAGGTTTGTTTATTTTTATTCTAATCATCCATCTTGCTTGTCTTTCTGCATGGACTGATGCCCTTTACACACTATGTGGCTCTCTGCTGTCCAGCCGAGAACATCTGTGTGTTTGTCGGTTCGTCAGCAGGCAAAACTAAATGTCATGTTACGGAGTTAAATCTTAGAAAGATAAAAAACAAAAAATTCATAAAACACATTGTCAGTGTGCGATATATTTTAACCCAAGGTAAATGCATTGCTTTTCAGTTATGGCAATATGGACACAAACATTTTTCAAAAGCTTCAACTCGATCCACCGGCATCTGGCCTTTCTCATAACTGGTCAGCCCTCCCCTGCCCTCCTCTCCTCTCCTCTCCCTCCCTTCAAGATCCCCACCCTGTTTAGTACTCACCTAGATCAAAGTCTTTCATACATCTGTTCTGCGTGACGCTGCCTTGCCTGGCCAGCTGGACCCTTGTCTGTCAGGGCTCTCAGACTGTTGGTGTGGCACCACTGCACGACCATCCAAAGCAAAGCACATCAGCGAGCTGCAAAACACAAACAGAAGAAAGAGTCGGCAACGCGGCAAGTGTGGGCGGAAGCCAGAGCTTCACTGTGTTCTTGAGAGACTCGGTGTAAAGTTGACTGTTGGTGCACATCTGTTTTGCAGGAAAGTAAAACACAAAAGATGTTCTGCAATGTACACTGTGTGTCTTTGGGACCAGGTATAACCAGAGCAGACTCCACGAAAACTGAGGTGAGGTTTAGACCTCAGTTATTAGCATGCAGAGTCTGCACAACGCCACCAACTGGATCGTTGTTGCGTTAAGTTGTCGCAATCAAAGAGACTAAGGAGAATGATAACTGTATTCATGTCACATGTATCCTTGGTAACCTCTGCTAAGTGACACAATGAGTGTAACTTTGTTCATGATGGGAGGAGAAAAATGGGAGGGAGAGTCAAACAGAATACCAAACATATTCTCTGGGATAAAAAGTTATGGAAAGAGCAGCACAAACTGCAACTGCAACCTAGTAAAGATGCTTCTTAATCTGTGTTCAAACAGATCATGTCATGGACAGAGATGTAGCCGTATTATAGTGTGGGACATTTACAGTTTATGACATAGGGATCACTTTCTTTCTGTCCCTGAAACTCCATGAAACTCCATTCCTGTAGTACATACTTATACGTACTAGACGTATGCGTTTGTTAAATTCACAAAAGCAGTTTAGTCACAACCGAAATGCTACTTTTTTAGCTTCTAATGTAGTAAAAAAGCAGCGTCCGATTCAGCAGACACCTTTGAGTTTGAGGGATTCTTTCACATTTTTGATGCATTCTACTAAGATTCAAGGAAGTGCAGCGTCTCACAGTTCAAATCAAGCATTAAAGGAATAACTACGACAGAGGGACTATTTCAAGCCTCGAGTGTATTCTTAGAATATCAGACAGCAGGTTTGATAACAGCACTAGTTCCAAGAGGTGGTGGTGGAAAAAAAAAACTGAAAACACCATCCATTAACCATCATAGATGTCAGATTCAGATGGATCATAGACGGAGAGCCGTGTCCAGGAAATACTGAGTCATCAGTGGCAACAGAAATGGAACACAGGAAGCAGAGCCACACGTTCACTACGGAAACCATCGTACAGTATTAGAACAGCAAACAGACCACTGTAGCACAAACGGATGACACAGAGGTGACAAGACCTGAAACTGAATCACCCACGCCTCAATTCTGACCCTGCAGTAGCTGTGGAACACGCTTCAACTGTATACGTATAAAAAAGGTTCATGTTTGTAACCGTTCTGCATGCAGAGGTTCCACCCATCGTCAGGTCATAGAGAGAAAATGAGGTGGAAAATAAAAAGGAGAACAATGAAACAAAAGACATTTTCTGGAAGAGGAATTTGGAATTGTATAACACTAAAATTGTAAATAATCATTAAAACAGACTCTCATTAGAGTAGAACTCTATACAGATTGATCATAATCAATAATCATTTAACATGATCATTATTGATCAAGAAAAAAAAATGACTGAGTGACCAGAGACAGAAACATATTCAACATATCCAAGTACATTTTGCTGAGTATGGAGTTCATAACTGCTGAGATTTATGAGCTCTACAGCAACAAAGAACAACTTGAAATTATGGCGATAGCAACTAAGATATGAGTCGCAAATTACCTTAAATTGAAACAAATTCTGTCTAACAAAAACACTAAAGGGTAATTTACCTTTGTCCCTGATGTAATGAGAAAAGAAGAGACTGCTTTTCACACTGGGGTTCTTTGTATTCACGACCAGTAGTCAAGGTGGCTGTGGGCTTTTACCTCAGACGGAGAACTGATCATCTACACGAATGACTGAAATACCTTAAGATTCACGTGTTTATGCACGCACGCACACACACACACACACACACACAGTTGAAAACTCAATCAGATGCAAAATGCAGGGAATAAAAGAAATGTCAAACAACAAGTGCAACTGATTTGTATGTGGGACCAGCGTCATGTGATCAATAGCTCCCCTGAAAAGAATGTGTGTTACAACTACAACACAACACATGAACAGTAGGAAATACAACAACAGAAAGTATCACAGCACTGAACACTGAATTCCCATTTAACCAAATGATATCTGGTCAATTTGGTTAGAGAGTAAGTCAGCGTTAACCTTTGTCATTTCTTGCAGAACTTCTTTCGTTAAGGAAAAAAAACGCTCCACGTGCGGAAAGAGTTGAGTGCATTTCTTTTGAATCGACACAGAGTGATTTTGTGGCTGCAATCAAAAAGTTTTCTTATAAAAGTAAAATCCTCTTCATCCTCTTAAAAAAGTGACTGACACTGACAAATTATTACATATTTACTGATATTTTATTGGATGCTCTTCTACCATAGATTATGGCCATCTACAGCACTATGAGACAACTGTTCTTCAGTTTCACTGGCTCCAGCTCCAAGTTTAAAACAAAGTTAGAGGTTTTCAGAATCTCCTAACTGTTTTGTTCCACTGTGTTGTTTTTTGGGGATCAGCTGTTTTCAAAGTTGCTTGAATTTAATAACACAGTGCACACAGGAGCCCCCCACCAAATGGAAAAGAAACTAAATAAATTACCAGTTATTATTTATTATTGTGGTACATTAGTTAAATCAAAATTCCCTTGTAAGAATAACAATGGAGCGCTAACTAGAACCTTGAACATTGGACTCAAACCCTCATTGCTGCGCCAGTTTCAAACCCCGGCAGGTTCAAAACTAAATTTCCTGTTTAATAGTCACAGCTTGTCACACGGTGTCTTTTCTGTTACATGAGGAAATGATTTATGACCTGACGCTTGTAACGAGCCTATGAAGCATTTGGATAAGCAGGATGAAATTACCTTCCTGTCTCTCTGTCCATCCTGCATTTGTTTGCTTCTCATTGTGACTACAGAACCCAGGAGTGGTGAGTTATAACAGGGACAGAAAGCAGAGCCTTTTCAAACATAAAATAAAACAATAGTCCAGTGCACACAAAGGTACAAGGTACACACAAAAGAAGCGTCTCTATAAAATTAAAATATGTAATAAATAAAGACCTAATGTCATACCTAGTAAAACGTAGAGGTTGTTGTCATTAAAGCTTTGTCCAAATAAACACATGTAAACAGATGTTCCATGTGTAAAGGGCTGCTAATTTCCCACAGCAATACTGAGCTTTAAGCTAACAAAGAATACCTTAATGGCTGAACAACGCTACAGAAACAAAAGACATGTGTACAAAAAAAAAAAACATTTCATCATGTTCCTGTCTCATTTGCATCCTGAGAGGAATGCTGACATTTAAAAATAATCCTGCTGACTTGAGAACCAAGCGCAGCCAAAACAGCGGCACTCGTGTGCATCAGAAAACGGGTTGACATGTGAAACCGAAGCCAATCACAGGTGAGCGCATATTCTGGTTCAATAAAACACAAACCAAATGTAATGGCTTCCTATTCCCATCCACTGTGACATTTTCCCTCTTATTTTTTTCCATCTTTTACAACTACCATTTAGCCTGCCTCCATTTCTCTTTCCTCCCAGCTGCCGCCTGCCCTCCCTCACTCAGTTTTCATTCTAAATCCACTTTTCTGCCCCCATCTTTTTCTCTTTTTCCATCCAAAACAACAGCCGTTCCAGGAAGAGGCCCATCAATCTTCTTCAGTGAGACCTGAGTGCGAGGGAGTGCCAAGGCTACAGCAGATTACTATCTCCCCTTACCTCCACTCAACACTGGATAACATTTAGAAGGAGAGGCTGAGTGAATAGAGAGGCAAGGAGGGTCCAGAGTGAGTCAAAGACACAATTGTAGATAGAAGGCAGACACATTAGATTTAAAAGCCTCAAACACACTTCCAGCCTGTCAACAGAGGAACCTTGTCAAATAAAAAAAACGACAGCAGTGGAATATAAAAACACAAACCGAACTGGTAGCCACCAACCCGGGTTAACATCTGCGGCCATTCCTCTAACCATAAACACTTGACCTTTTATCACATCAATCACTAACATCCATCCATTAGTAATAACCACATCTGAAAAACAGTTCATTTTTTTACCAACATCAGGAGTGAAATCAGGAAGTTTGAATTTCGTGAATGTCGTTTATGATGCCAACTGAGAACACTCTGCAGGGCAGTGTGTCAGCTCACGCATTTAACTGTTGATTTTCCAAGGGATTTTCTAAGATGCTCTAGACTGACCTAGGTCTGATATGTTCATTAAATATTTAATTCTAAATCCAAGGAATGAAAACCCCGAGAACAGAGTAAGAAGAGTAAACGGTCGACTACATAATGTGTGTCAGCGCCAGAGTCGAGAGTAAAATATCCGATCATATCGAGCATTTAGCGGTAGTATTTAATACTTTGTAGGGTGCAGGTGAAGAAGAACACGATTCACCAGTCAGACAGTCAAAGGGAAGAGTCGCTGGTGAGTGTGAATGTGTTGGAAACTAAATTTTCCGCTTTGTGATACCTAAAAGTATGTGAACATTTGTGTGAGAAAGAATTCACACTGGAGGTGAGAACCAGAGCTGTGACCTCACAGCTGAGAGGAGTTATTAAGGAGCCGCTTCACTGCCCTCTGTGTTTCACTGGCAGTAATCCATAAAAATAAAAAAAATAAAAAACACATGTGTATCACCAGTAAACCCAAGGCCAAGTGTGTAATACCCACTAAAGGCTGGTTGCAGAAGAACTGAGGCAGATGGAGAAATATTCCAAATAGCTGTCTTAAGTGTGGTGAGGTAGTAGCTCTGTGTCTTTTTATGACTTTTCATCTTCGGAAGCAATCATGCTTACTGCATGTGAACAGCAAGACCACAAAGCCCTCAGTGGGAAGTGCTTAACACGAGAGCAATAACCGCTGCACAGCATTTGCTCTACGTCGTAGCCACTGATCCAAACATTTTAAACCACTCAAAGGGAAATGGAGACATTAGAAAGGGTGGGATTTTTTTCAGGGATATTAGAGTCTTCTCGTATTGTGTGTTCACAACACAGCTGGCAGG